CCCCTTAATGAGCCAGAAACCAGTGTAATCTGTCTGGTAGATATACAAAAGGCTTATCTAGTTCACTACATGTTCATCTAAAGTTGATCCACTAAATTATTTCCTCCATTAAATAGACAACTGCTGTTTTTTTCTGGTTGGATAAAGTGTCAGTGTTACAGGAGAGATTTTATGCTCAGAGGACCTGGGATTAGAAGAACAATAATTTTGATATTTAAGATTTATGTTTGGAGGCAGATTGCTTTTGAATGCAGAGAAAATTTTTATACTGACATGCAACTATGTAACGAAATAATGTCAGACTCTGGGATGGCAGCATATGTTATAGTCCAAAAAATTAAAACTGTTAGTTTGGGATAAAAAAAATCTTCCAGTGTTATTAGAAAACAGAAGCAAGCACATGGCATAATAGTTCAATATAATGGCATTGTTTGCTGTAAAGCTGACATTTCAGGCATAATCTGCAGTGCTCACTTGAAGTAGGTCATTTTGCTGGGCAGAGAAGAATTTGATACATTCTTTTATATTACTGTGTCAAATTGGATTAGAACATAATAAAATGGAGAATGTAAAGTAAAGGCCTTTGGGATTGCTGGTTATGCAGTGTAGTAAGTTGCACATGGAAATAAAATGAATGTACTCTTCAGAAGTATGCCAAACTTGTTTAGTTTTGTGGACCTTCCTTATTCTAGTATATTACCTTGGTTCATCCTTCCTGTGGTGCACTATCTGATCATCTACATCAAGAGAATTTCCTTCAGTAAGTCTGCCCAGTATTTTTCTGTTTTGCAATTATTATTATTTTAAACAGCAAGACATTAAAAGATAAAATGACTGAAAAGCTGCTACAGTTGATGCAGTTTCTGTTTTCAACTATAAACTGTCCAGTGGTGCTCACAACTTTGCTAAAATTTATTTCAGAGGTTCACTAATACTGCCTGCGGGGCTGGTTTGGAGTGCAGCCACAGGAGTATTCACTTCAACAGCTTCACTGGGTAGCCTGCAGGATTCAGCTTCTACTGTCAATCTGTGAGATATCTAAGCTACACAGACAAGAAAATGTGCTGTAGCTTGGTTTCTTAAATGATGCTTGGAGGGTTTATCATGACTTTATGGAGTAACTTCTAACCTTTGAAATTTTGGAAATGTTAGTTAGTAAGCTGAGTACTCCACACTTTCATTTATCTTATACTCATATCTCAGAACTCACATTACCCAAAATTGGATTGTGTCTCCTATGTACGATGAGTCATTTGCTTTGAGAAGGTCTCTGTTAGCTGAAAACCCAGTGACAAGTCTGGGTGGCAGGTCATGTGTTCTGTATGGATGAACAGGGTTACACTTCACACAGGAATTAATATTAGTAGGAATTAATAAATGACTCATGTTCCAGTACCGAATTTAATTTCAGAGATTACAGAAAATCTGAAGACAAACTATATGCTGCATCGCTTTTGATATTTGGAAAGGGAAGTGATTAAAAAGAAAATACCAGAGCCAATCTTTGCCTAAATGAAGGCCTGGAAAAAAGACTAGTATATATCAAAGTAACTCCAGTGTGCGTGTGCATTCAGCTTTCAGTTGATTGTAAAACTGAAAAGTTGAGCCTGGAACACTTAATGCTGTACGAAGGCAGCTTTCACTTGGAATGACTGTCATCTGCTCTGTCAGATTCTTACTTTTCCCTCGTGGTTGAAGAGCAGTAACTTTTCATAGAAAAGGCAGGTTCATCCTTCTCTGACACTGAGTGTCCGTGTCCTGCCTGTACCTCGAGTGAGGAAACTGCTAATGCTGTTGCTGCAGTTCCATCCTGGCGTGGAAGAGGTTTGTGCAGCGGGTGCACAGCACGTTCCACACACGGACGTGTAACACTGACTAAGGACACTGAGAAATCACCTTAAAACAAGGACAAATCAATTTTCAAAAATAAATTCCAAACAAAAAAAATGGGATTTAATCCCTTTGGTCTATAATACAGCATGCTACCAGGCCACAGAGGTATAAGGTGAGGGTCTAAATTCTGGCAAGTATTTGTCTCAGAACATCCTTAACTTTTCAATGGCTTCTTACACCCAGCTAAATATATACTTAAACGCTTTCCTGAACAGAGGTCTAACAAACTTACATTTAATGATCTTTGGTTTATCTGACTCTAAAATGTGCACTCCATTTACATATGGTTTGACACAGCAAATGAAGTACTTGCAGACTCCTGGCACTAGTAGCTTCACCTTTGTGGATTTCTGTAATGTATTATTCTCATTGAAAGTCTGTTTTCCACAGGAAGCGCGTGATTAATTTCTAATGGCATTACCAGGAGGTTGGCTCATCCTTTCAGAAGAAAGCTCTTTCTTTTCCAAAAGTGATTTTTGTGGTTTTATACCTAATCACTAATTGAATTCCTGCGTATAATGTGATACCAGAGACTTTGGGATAACAGAAATAAAGACTTCTAAGTTTCCCATTTCCCTGTGTGACAACGGGATGCCAAAGAAAGAGTTAAACCAACTCAGTGTGTTTCATTGCTTTCATGGAACAGCACTGTCGGAACTCTGTTTGCCTGGATTATAGATGTGGTGTTATCTCACTTTATGAGAATATAGTCTTTTGAAGGACTGAGGATCACTACATAAGAAATCTTGAATCTGCACTTCTGGCTGATTAGTATGCTGTAATTTATGTGTCAAATCATGCAAAACACAGAAAGACAGGCAAAATACTAAAAGCAGTATTTCCTTAAGTAAATTTTAGATTAAGTAAGATTAAGAGAAAAACATTCTCCAGCTTTTCTATCCTATCAGCAGGGCAATGACTAAACCCACTATCTCCTACATAAGACATTCTTTAATATATCCACAGAACAAGAAACAAGGACTGAAAACGTACTGTCAATTTCCTTGGATTAAGGTCAAAGCTTGAGAATCAGAGTTTTCCTTCATAAATTTACCACACAATTTCAATTATAATCAGATTATAATTTAAAGGAAATAAAATCCAAAACAAACAAACAAACAAATCTCAAAAAGAAAAAAAATAATACTTACATTGGTGACATATTCAATATCCTTCCAAATATTACATTCCCTGGGAAAATCTGCCAAATCTAAAAAATTATCCACAATCACTTGGCCAATCAAGTCATGCCTGGAGAATCTGTCAAAGTCATACACAGAGAAATGGAGTTTCCTTGCATTCAGATCATTGTATGGGACAGTAAATAGAAAAACTTCATCAAATACTGGATTTAGGGTCTTTCTGTGCACTTTAGTCTGGTGTTTTGTTTTCCTATCAGGAAGCAGATATATTTTCACATATGGATCTGAAGTTCCAGAGAAGTCCTTTGCCGGCAGGTTGATGGCCTTGTGTATCTTCACTATCAGCTGCTCTAAATCACAATCATATTTCAGAATAAAGTTCAGTTTTCCACATGCCTTGGTGTTACTCCTCCGGCCATCATCTGTGTCCACTGATCTCTGTTTATATAGCTCTGGTTTAATGCGGCCAATCCCTGTCAGTTGCTCCTGTTTCTGAACCTGCTGGATGTTGAAGTCAGGGTTGGAGAGGTTGAGCTGTCTTCGGATTGAATTATGCCTTAAGTGAAAATGAAAGAATTAAAACAGAATGTGTTGAATATGATAAGAATCTGTGCACACACACTAAAAATCCTGTTCTCATTTCACGTATTTTTATAATGTACACCAGGGTCAGATTTTTACTCACATGAAGTGATAAAGCATGATACCAAACAACTCTGAGAGCTCACCTCCAGCATTACACTGCTAATATCACATAATTTTCTGTTCCTGTGTCTCAAGATAGCGGTATGCACTCTCCAAACCTGGCTGAAGAAAGTAACAAATGCAAATTCATGGCATCTGCCTTACTGGCAAGTATAATGTGATATGGTGAGAACTGTAGCTGTTCTTATCAGTTACCAGTTTCAACTGATTCCTTTGGATTAATGCCTGTGAAATGAGTTACACTATATAAATGGCAGCAGGATCCAGCCTATTATGCCAGCCGAGCTTGCTGATTGCTGGTTTTAAGATAAAGCTGGACAAAGAAGGATGCTTCCTGACATCTCTGCATTTTAATTACTTGTTGATCTCTACGACTACTTCATTTACAAGTGAGGTGTGGTCTGAAATGGTTTGTTGATCACCCCAACAATTGTTTTGTTCTTTTTTTCTCATACCCAATGTAATAAGCTCTGTGGTACTTTGGCTGAAAAGCTCCCTTAGTTTCATTACTCTGAGGAGAGAAAGTTGCCTTTAGCTTCGGTCCAGTGAAAGGTATTACCTAGAGTCACTCAGTTATTCTGATTGAAATTTCCACTTCATGAGATGATAACAGAAATCAAATTTGCAAACCTTTTGGGGTAGTGGGATGTGAAAGTTGGATTAGGTAAAATTCTAATCCTATATGAGTTGGATTCCTTTTTTTTTTTTTTCCCTCTTCATATGCAGCAATCATTCAGTGTATTGGAGTACCATGAGCTGTGGTTGAACACAGAAAATGTGGAAAATGCTAGCACAGGATTAGTCCAAAGCTATTTATGTTGAATGTAATCAGCAATAGTTCCTGCTATCATTGTTCATTCACTGCTAGTAAATATGTTTATGGATGCTTAAAACAGAAAGAGCCTCTTATAGACTATCCTAATTTTTTTCTCTTGTTGCATAATAAAGACATAATTTTATAGCTATACATCTGTCATTTCCATGATAAAATATTAGCATGTCACAAAAAAATATTTTTATTGTTCAAACCTTAAGCTCCTCATCACAGTAGGAAATGCAGAATACCCTGGGGAGGAATAGAAAGGAGGCCACTGGAGAGACAGCTTAGCCAGGATTGTGGCAGGGGCAGGTGCCTGCTCTCTGTGGCCACCCAGGAAAGCTGCAGCTGGCTACCCAGCTATGCCAGAAAGCAGTAGAGACAAAGGGGAACAAATGAAGAATGCAGTACAAGGAAGATGGGCCCCTCCTGCTCAGTGAAATGAGTCTTCTGGAGAAGACCTGGGCCACAGTATGGGACAATGAAAGAGGGGTAAAGAGCAAAGCACATAGCAAACAGCATGGGGCAGGAGTGAGACCTGGATAAGTCATGCCCTTATGGACAGAGAGCCACTATGACACCCACTGGAGAGAGACAGACTGGGAACAGTTGCCAGAAGAAAGATCTACAGGTATTCACAGGAGTGAAGATACGTCCATGCACTCAGGACACTGAGGCAAGTTCTCTTACAGACTGGGATTGCTGCTGCTGGTTCTGAGATGACTATGCTGTGGTGATACTGGGCATTTGTCATTTGATTAAGTATCAGAATTTTGCTGCCCTGGTGCAACAGAGGAAGCCTGTATCTGACTCAGTGCTTTCACAATATCACAGAAACATGAGAGCTCTTGGTGTTAGATGTCAGAAAGGAATCTCCTGTTGTTAATGAATCTCGTGACGTGCTTATTTCCCAGCAGTTTGAAAACAAAGCAGCACCAGCCCTGTACTGTACTTCTGGACGATTAGTCCGGAGTTGGAATTGAACCTTGCATGTGGTAGAGTGCAAGCTTGGGTATCCGTAATTATGGCTTTGACTTCCTCATAGATTCCTACAACAAAATGAGCTCGGGCCATTCTTATACTAATCTAAGGAAGAGCACTTGGACATTTTGCTGCATGGCATTAATGCTATTCTGGGGACTTCTCAAATTCTTTCTGAGACACGTTTTGGACAACTGGCAACTACTGAACTGGCTGCTAGCTGCTTTCATCTTACCCATGTTCAGGTGTGCCTGCAGGCAAGCTTTGGCTAAGCTCATTCTCCCAGATGACCAGAAAGGAGGCAGGCAAAGAGCAACTGGGCTAGTGCTGTACCTTCTCCAGCTGAAGTGCATCTGCTTTGACTCAGAAATGTACTGGCTTTTCACATGCTGATCCTTTTTCTGATGGTGTGAAACATAATCCTTTTATCATCTGCCCCTGCACACTCTCACCCTCCCTCTTTCCTCTTCCCTTCTGTATTGGTTCTCCAGTTCCCCTGGAGACCTCACTGACTCTTGTTCAGTCACTTTTCGCCCCACAGTCGTGGTTGTGGCTAAAATCTATGATTTTTAATCCTGTTTCTAACTCTTGCAAATGTTTCATTAGCTTGCCCTACTTTTCTTCTTTGGCTGTTTTAAAAATCTTTGAGGAGATATTACTGAGTGTTCAGCATCGGTGCTAAGTGCAAATGAATATACTTTACAAGCTAAATCTAGGCTGTTCTGGTGCTTTAACGGACACACAGTGCTCTGTGTTGTCCAGCTTCTGAGGGAGAGGCACGAATGAGACAGGAGTTGATAGAAGAGTGGAATAGCATTGTGATCCTGTCCTTTTAAGCTAAAGAGGTTTGTGCACCTCAAAGAATAATTTTTGTGGTTTGGTTTTGTTTTTTTTTAGAGAACATGGCAAGTAAATTATGCCTTTTTAATAGATCACTGTACTGGATAATCAAGCTGTGTTCTTTTGACTGTATCTCTATTCATTAATATCAGAGAGAAATTGGAGTTACTGACCGAGCAGAAGAGGTTGGTTCAGTGACCTGACGATGCATTCGCACATTGTGTACACAGTTCTCCTTTGTGCCCGCCTGAGCATCTAATGGAATATCAGGGGAGGTGTGGCTGATCTTCATGGAGGACTCCGGATAGGCTGTAGGCTGACCCAGATAATCCTCACTGTAGTCATGGTCATTGGTCTCTGTATCTGTGTAGTTCAGTGATTCTTGTTTGTTGTCTTTGTTCCCAAACGGCAGACCACGCTCTCGCCAAGGGATCCAACAAAGCTTCCAGGACACGAACAGAGAGACACCAAACAGAGCAAGACCACAGGCTGTGACAACTAAGGATAGCAAGCTTATTGAGATATCTGCAAACAAGAAAAACACATGCATGTGTCATCTTTGTGCTCTTGGACTTCTGCATCTCCAAGGCATACAATACGGGATGTAAACATCACTGCATTGCAGATCTACAAAATTAAATTCTGGTCCCTGCAACAGTCATATAACAGAAACATATTAAATGTTCTACTCTATTTTTATCCCCCCTAAGGAAAAAAACCAAAACAAACCAAACCTAACCTTGTCTGGAAATTAGTATAAGGCTCATCTTGATATAACTGTTTATATTTTCCCTCCAAAGGCTGGGTGGGCTGAAGGGTCATTCTAAATATGAAAAGAGCTGTTCACTTGTTCACTCAGCTTTCTGCTGGCAAAACAGCAGTGCCTGAGATACATTTTGTTTTTTCCTTATTTTCCTTCTATGTAGTGCGGTTTCCTCCACTTCCTTTACTGTACTATACTTACACAGCCATGAACATATGCACACATGCACATCTGTGGCATGAATGGTTTTTAGTTATTCAACTGAAGTATCTTGTTTCATTACTTTAAATCCCTTCCTTCTAATCTTAGACTCATTCTTATCTTTGCTAATTATTTTTGACTGTCAATACAAGTCTTGTTGCTCATCATTTAGTTTAGGTACCAGTATCTCTTCAAACATGAGGTTTTTTCTGATTTTTAACTCCAAAGGCTCTTTTTTTCTGTTTCCAAACTTCTGGTATAAAAGGAATGCGGAGATGAGTTTTCTTCCCCCCCTGCCCCCATTCCTAGCATTATCCTACTCCATAACCATATTGACACAAATAAGTTACAACTGGGAGAGGCTTTTTCTCTGTTTTGCTTTGTTTTAAGTTGCACATTGAGAAAATGACTCAGTGGACCAGCTGTTTTTATGGTTACAGTGTTTTTGAAATGAGTTTCTCTGTGGATTACACAATACATCATGCCTTAAACAAAATTAGTAAGAATTCTATTTTACTGCCTTGAATTATAAACACAATCTGATCAAAGCAATTTTTCACACTGTGTGTAGGTTCAGCATGTCAGGCTGCATCTCTCTAGCTAACAGCCAGCCTAAATTTTCAAAGGATGGCATGAGGTTGAAATGTACTGCTCCTACTAGGACAATTATTTAAGAATGACAATTCGGATGAAACAGGCTCAGTCACTTTAGGAAAAAAAAAAAAAAAAGAAGATTTTTCAAAAAAGTGGAAAAGCCAATACCTTCTGCCCCTGCTGCAGGTCTCATTCTCGCTAGCCAGACAAATTAAATTTCTGCAGAGGGAGTGGTGACACTACAATCAGTTTCACACAGGAGCTGTCCAGTTTATTTTGTGTGCTGAAAACCAATTTTAAACAATTTTAGCCAGCATGGCTCTTTCTGTCCTTCTCCCAGTCATATGAAGACAAAGCTCATTAACAGTGAGGACAGCACACCAGCTGTTTGGAATTATAGCAGAGTTTCAGAGCTAAAATTAATTAAAGAAATTCCTCCCATGCATAAAAGGCAATTTGGGAGAAAGTAGAATGGTCGTTCTTGATATTTTTGGAATATCTACTGGTAAACAAGTCTGGCAGTGGAGGCAGAGCACAACCTCTCCGTTTGATTAAACAGCAGAGGAACTGGGATGCAGTAGTGAAAGAAGACCTTCAGAATAAAACAATTTGTCTTGGATTCCTTGGAGGAGAAGGAAGAAATACAGCAGAGGTCTGCAAAAAGGGCACTTTTTCAAAGAACTGATTCAAGTAAATGGTCCAGAATTGAAAGAAATGAGAAACTGGGAGCTGTCAGAACCAGCCAGACTATAAGGTGAGAACTGGAGACTGCCCAATGCCAAGGATGTGTGAAGGTGAGGAACAATGTGAAAGGTAGACCAACAGTCCCCTACCTTAAGGATGACTTTAGCAGAGGACACAGTCATCTAGAGAACTGACATAATAAAGAAAAAAAATACATGAGCAATATGAACTACTTTTCATTTGGAGAGTTTGAAGGGCTTTAATAATATACATCTGCATTTAATGACGTAACACTGAGAACCCTTATCTCACAGCTTACTTTCCGAGAAGCTGGGTAATAAACAGTTCAGGTAACTTGCCAAGTTGCAGAATAAGAAGAGATTACTTTTCATCATCTTGGTTTTACTTCTTTCTGACTCCTTAAGAACTATTTTTTGTGTGAAATTTTTGTTACTGTGGATGGAAAAGGGACAATCATGTATCTGCCTTATTTCTATGACAGACAGTGGGGCTAAACTGTTTCCTTTCATTGGACAGTAATTTTCAGATACTGCACACCTAGCTGGCAATTTTCAGCAACTGGGCAGATCCAGTATGAATAGCTGGGGTGAGTGCAGTCCCAAATGAATAGATTTTTTTCTGCATCCTGGAGCTGCTTTTACATTAGCCATTTGTACTGTTACATATTGTATTTTCTGTATAATTTTCACTCCATCTTTCCAGATGTCTCAGTTTTTCTAAGACTGTTCATCTGTATTCCCATATGATAGCAGTACTCATCTGCTGCCAGTGATTTCCTCTGCTTCATCAAGTTGTTGGTTATCACATGAACTCCTTCCCCAACAAACTGGCTGTGATCTGTTTTAACTTGAAGCTGAAAGATTTTTACCAAACATCTTAACTGTGAGAATTCTTTTAGCAAGTTTGTATTGAAATAAAACAAGCTTTCTTCTTGATGCTTCTTTACTCTTCTCTTTTTAATAAGATAAGTATTCAGATATTCCAGAATTATTGTAATACACAGATTGGTCTATTAAGTGAAATTTGACTAGTAAGAAGTGAAATAAATCTTAGCAATGTAAAAAATCTTGCAATAGAGGTATTTTTAGTAATATACAAGCAATCTTTTCTGATTTAAAACCCAACAAATTCTGAAAGGCATTCAATTCAACAGTGCAGTCAAATAGAAAATGATAAAATTAACTTGTTCTGAATAATCATGTTACTAAACTTTAGGGCATTGGGTCAGACCAGACAATCTTTCTGAATATGATTCAATCCAAATGCAATGATAATTTCAAGCTGTTATTTCCAGAGGAAAAAAAAGTTCCTCCCTTCATTAAGTTCTTGTTGCTCACGGGAAGATTTTAAGGAATATGAAGTGGTTAGACATCTAACTTCTTGAAAAACAATGGAAATATCAGTGCCTATTGCTTATATCCTAGCTGTGCTTTTGGAAATCTGAATTGTCTTTCTTCCATGTAAATACATCTATGGAGGGTTAGCCAAAATTCAGCTCAGTAATTGTACTGCAAGAGCGTAAGAGCAAATTTTTTCAAACCTAGAAGTTTAATACCCTAACTTTTCCAGAGGATAAGTGTTGTTTGGATGAATTATCTGAAGTACTTACTGAAGCAGTTTTAACCTAATATTGCAGTGTAGTTTCTTTTGTGCTTCACAAGTTTTTCTTAATTAACATAGCTGGCACTTGTTCAGGATGAAAGGTGTCTCTTTGCAAAGACTCCTGAGACAAAGGAGTAATTCTCAGCTAATATATTCTTCACTGAAATATTCCTGAACAGAGTTAATTATGCTTAATACTGTGTTTAGAAACTTTCTGGTAAATTCTTTAAAGTAAGGCAGCTGAAAACACCAAGGGAGTGAATCTCAGATTATATTAATTTTATTACACATAAATACTCCAGCTCTTACCTGTCTGACACTGAAAGTTATGAATGTGGACCAACAAAACAGGCCTAAGTGAGATCAGCATCAGGGTTTCATATAGTTATAACATTTTCCATGATCTAAAAATGTGTTTATAACTGGGCTTTACCGGTATTTGAGGCTGTTACTAGCTTTTAGTGACTATATTTTTTTCAAGTTATGTGTTCTATGTCCTATAGGTAGGCCTTAGGGTGTGTAAAGCTCTTCTGTTGGTTAAGACACTGTTCTAACCCTCTGAGTGACTTGCGTATATTTTTATTCCTAAATAGTGTTACAAATTCCAGTTTCTCAGTGTACGCTTTCTCTTCATCTGCTTTGCCTGGGTTACAAATTTGTGTAATTTTTTTCCAGGTATTGCTTAAAATTAACTAGGTTTCATAAATGAACTAGATCACTGAAATATAATCCTAGGTCTTCATCAACATAATCATCAATTGGTTTAAAGGTACATAAATTCCATAGCACAATTTCAGTATGAAATTAGAATTCCTAAATGGCCATACTCACAACAAAAAGTGCATGAGCAAGAGAGATTTGTTTGCTAAGAATATTTTTGCAGCAGCAATTGCTGTAATATAATTCAAAACTGACACAAGACTGACATAATAGCTTATTGGTTAGATCACAAAATTAGAGCTTAAGGCAAAAAAAAATTCAAAGCAAATTGTTCATGGACATTCATAAACAGGAAGAAAGGTATTAAAACATAGCAAATTATTCTTTTTTAATTTTGTATCAGCAGAAAGGTTTTATTTTTTCTTATGAAGAAGAAAACTTACATAAGCAGAATGTTTTGTTTGTAATTCAGGTAAAGTACTTCATATTGAGATTGTGTATTAATTGCAAGCAAAATTGTATGTGAGCACAACACGCAAAAGTGTACTTGCTGAAGTAAACTGATCAGTCTCTATGATAAAGCTTAACATCTGTAATCAAGTAACTTAAACTTGTTCTAAGAAGAATTTCTTCTTGTTTGCACATCTATTTCCTCTTGAAATATTTAGTCTGCATTAATGCAAATTTCCTTGACAACTTAGCTGACATATAATATTCTGCTAGAGTTTGTAAGTGACAAAAAATGTCTTTACTGATCAGACGGCTGAGTGAGCTGGTATTCTTAAAGACGCAGTTGAGAGGAGTCATATGTTCAAGGACTTCCACTTTTCTTTCTGACATCTTGCAGTAGTATCGACTGACAAAGAATTATGATGTTTCCCTTGTGAAAACTAAAGCTTCTGTTTCACAGGAAACATGGATACAAAGAAAGCATAGTAGAAAATAAAATTTGTCATGTCATTTGCTGCAAACCAAAAGGGTGAAACCACCACACTGCATATGCTCAACTGTACTAAGTTTTACCCAGGTTCCCACGCCTCAGACTTGGTTCTTTTTGGTTGTTACCATATTCTCTTTGAATACATACTTCACACAACTGATACAATATGCAAAATTACTGTATACGTTTAGTCGTGTGATAGCCAGTGTAAAATATGACATAGTATATTCTGGGGAAAACGCATAAATAATAACAACAGAAGAAAGGACACCAGTTTTAAGCCAGATTGTCACGTATGCTCTGTGTAACATGACATGGAGATGGCTTGAACGGCTTCCTTCATATTGCATCCTGTGAGGCAGAATCAGGGCGCTACATTTGCAGGACAGGAAATGTAGCTGGAGCAAACAAATATGAAATTTTCTAAAAGCCATTTGGCATTTGAGAAACACAGCTTGTTAGCTAAAAGGGGAAGCTGGTGATATGCTGAATGGGAAAGAAATTGTTGGGGTGTTCATTTATACTGCAAATTCATATGACCATCAGATCTGTTAGGTCCTTTACAGTGCAAAATCTGAGTAGCTGTGCTTTGTAAGAGTTACAGTTCCCATGACTGTAGTCAAGAGCTGGAATACATACTTCCACCCATCCACTTTCTCTCCTACTTCTTGGGATATGTTAAATGAATCAGATTAATTATTTGCTTGTAATAAGTAATATGACACACTTTAGAGTTTTCTTGTAGGTTCATTCACAAAGTGAACTGAGTTGCTAATTAATAATTTGCAAATGTTTATCCTGTTTTTTTAGGGGATGGAAAATAGTAGTTCACAGGGTTATTGAAGAATTTAACTTCTCATCTACCCACAGAAAAGTGACTAGTCACTTTTGGCAAACGCTTTCTAGCAGAAATTTTTGGACAAATTATGTGTGCTAAGATGTATGAAACTTTCAAGATCTGTGAATATTTTCATGAATAAGCCGTCAGAGCACACATTAATCTTGAATGTTATGACCGTATGAATAATAATGAAGAGAACTTGCCATTTATTTCTGCAATACATAGCCTGTATCAGGAAGTCCCCAGGTTACGGAAGAAGAGCAAACAGCTTATTTGAACCACACCTATAAGCTTTAAATTCCATTGTAGTCCTTGAAAGCCTAGTAAGTTGCAATAAATAGTAAAGAAGCATTTGAGAGTACTAAAAGAAATCACAGAGAAACATTTCATTTCCCGCTTGTATAAAACTGTAGAGTAATATTGTACCAAAGTCCTCAAAACAATA